TATAAAATAAAATCCTGCCCCATCTAACACATGCATTTTCACAACCCTTGCTCTCTTATTGTATCTTTTCCATTTTCTCCCACTTCCCTTATCGTACTTACTCTCGTCTGCATCTTATCTTTTTCCCCCTTTTTTTCTTTTTAAAAAGAAAAAAATTGTCAACACTCCCCTCGTCCCAGCTGATAGTGCCACGTGTTCTCTGTTCCTGTCTCATCACATTCTCCCTCATATTTTCTTTTTTTTTATTATACCTTGTCCTTTCTTGTCGTACATTTAGTGTACCAACTCTTATCTAGCGCGACGGTATGACGTACCTGTGGCAGAGACAGACGGTACTGGCTGGGTCTTGGCGTACACCGTCCGCGTGCTGGAGGCCACAGTAGGCGATGACGTCACCGCCGAGCCCGCGCTCGGCACAACTGAGGTGACGACAACGGCTGACAACGTTGCAGTGACGCTGCTGGCAGTAGCTCCTGGATTAGATGTACCACTGCTGCTGTTGTTGTGGGGGAGGTGGTGGTGGTGGTGGTGAAGGTCGGGATCATTGTCTTCTGCTGTATCAGCAGCCGAGGCCACGCGTCGTATCGTCTCCTCAATGGCGCGACTCGTCTCCGCCCGCTCTCCGCCCCCCTCGCCACATGGGCCAGGCAAGGGCGACTGCTCCTCCTCCTCGTTCTCCGTGGAATCCACCACAATCTCGCAACTTCCGCTACTGCCCGCCCGGCTCCTGCTGGCTGCTCGCTCTAAGGAGGCGCGTTCTCTGTCGCCAGGCGACCACCGCGTGTCCGCTGACGACCTCCGCTCCCCAACGACACGGCCGGGGCCACTGACTGACGGGAGGGTCGTGTCCACCTCTGTCTCAGACTCCCTGGTCTCGGGTTGTGAAGAAGTAGAAGAAGAAGATCCCCCCACAGCCACGCCTCCAGATGTTGTAGCCAGAGGGGCTGAGGAGGGAGAGGTGGTGGAGGAGGAGGTTGATGACCTCATCCCGCCCGTGTGTTGCTTGATGGTGGCCGGTTTGGCCGGGGCGGAGGAGGCGGCGGCGGAGGACGGGGAGGCCAGAGCGGAGAGAAGCATCCCGTCGTGTTGAACCGTCGCAAGTGCCACGGGCGGGGCCGTCTGGGTGGGCACACCCGCTATAGCGGCCGAGTCCCCGCCCACCGCGATAGAGGCGTCGCCTGAGGCGAGGGGGGCGGGGACGGCGCTAGGTACCTCCCACGTGGAGGGGCTGGGAGAGGCCGAGGCGGCGCTGTGTGTCACGTCCACGTGTAGCGACACCTCCGAGACAGAAGACGGTGACACAGAGGCGGACAGCGCTGAGCCGGAGCGCAGGCTGGTTTGGTTCGGAGACAGGGAAGTGCTGGCAGTAAGGGACTTCTCGGGCCTCGACGCTTTCTTGCCCGAATCCACTGGTCCGGACTTGGTTCTGGGTGACCGCTGTCCAGTCTGGCTGCCGGTCGCGCTGCCTGACGACAATGCCGTGGAGGAGGTCAACGAGGAAGACGAAGCCCCCGCGGTATTCTTACCCCCCGGACTCATACACTTCGCCCTCGACGCATCTGAGGGTTGTCTAGCGACCAGAACGCCCGATGACGCGGCCACATAGGAGGGTACGCTACTACTCTTCTGTCCGTGCAGAGCGCCACTAGATCCTGGGGACGTACTGCTGCCCCCGACTCGTTTGTCCCCTCCCCTCCGGTGGGAAGATGATGACGGCGACACTGACGGGGCCGTGACTGATGATGACGACGACGACGACGGCGATGACAGAGAAGACGGTGAAAGTTTCGGTTCCTTCAGAGGCAGGTCCGTCCTGGAGGGCAGAGCCGCGGCCAGTGTGAGCTCTCTGGCCCGGTGCTCCGCCTCCGACTTGCGCCTCTCCGCCTGGCGCGCTTTCTCCGAGCACGAGAGTTCTTTGGGCTCCTGTTTGACCAGACTGAGGGCTGAGCCTCCCGCGGAGGAGGACGAGGAAGAGGAGGAGGACGAGGGAGGGGGCTCCAAGAAGGGAGGTAAGTGTCCGGGAGCCATGCCG